AATGATTGCCCCTATAGCTCCCCTAGTCGTAGTCTATTTTCCCCAGTAACAGTAAAAAATAGACTAAATGTTTTCTAGTTTGTTTTTAACATAGTCTCAAAGACTACGGTTTCTCGACAAGTTAAACAAAAATAAATTCTGGTATTGTAGAGAAGTTGAGAAAACAATGACATTTTCCTCTGATTGTTAGTAAACATTGTGGAACAAAAGCAAGATATCACATTTTGCAAAATATACCCTATCTTAACAATTTATTCACGCAAAAATTAATAATAAAAAAGGTTAAATTTAATATTGTCATAAATCAACCTACGACATACTTGGCTTATTGTGACAACTGGAGATATCTCATTGTGGACAGTAAGACAGCAAATCCTATGAATATGATCATTTATATTATAGATAAATTACAACTGATAAAAATAAAATCTACAAGTTTAAAAGCGCTTTATTTCACGATATATTAAAGATTTGTAGGTAGGTAAATTCCAACCCTAGCCATCCCTAAAGTAAATTCCATGACCTCTATGGTGACATCTTCACTTGAGTACTGTTTTCCAGTCAGAAACTTTCGAGTACAAAATACATTTTTGAGGATGGTTGCCTTTAAGTTGGGAATAAACCTTTCCGATTATAACCAGTTTCAATCACAGTTAAACCTAATCCCATTAAACATGCAGATTACAGACTTACTAACCATTTTAAAAATTATTAATTTATACAATGACGACTGTCCTCAACTTCTAGGCAAATTAACTTATCCACTACTCCCTATCAGCTGAGGCAATATAGGATCTTCTACATGCTACGCCACAATACTATCGCAAAAACTCACCACATTATTTAATTCCTCTATTAATATTTTTCTAAACCAATATCACAATTCGCTAAACAAATCTTGATAATCTAGGCATGCATAATTATTGTATTTACATCAAAAATTTCTTATCTTCTATCGATATGATTATAATTACACCACAAAATTTCTTTATCTTCTATCCATATGAATATAACTACACCACATTATGTATAAACATTGTAATGATTGTTAGATTAAATATTGTTAGTAAGATGAGCTCTTTTTATGTATAATTACTTGTAATACACTTATATATTTTTGTGCGAGGATGCTATCCTATATGTATATAATCAAATAATTATGGCAACAGGGCAACAGGGACATTGATAATGTCATTTTTGGCTGTTCCTTATTGCAAGTAGTAAAACAAAAACAACACTGAAAATTACAACTGCACTGTGGATAATATCTTATCGATGAAGTCATGGTCCAAACGGTCAGTTTCTAATTTACTTATCTAAGGAATCAAAAAATAATGTAAAATAATTAAGACTAGGAGAATTTGATTTTGACTATGCAGTATTTGATTTTTTTTATGTTAGGAAAAATGGCAGGCCAAAGCAACACTAAAAATTGAAAACATTGTACGTATTTATTGCAAACCTATCGTTGTAGTTATTGTCAAAATATTCATCTAATTAACTTACCCCTGAGTCCAAAAACAGGGACGAATAATGAAGACAAAGAGATTTTTGTAACATAAGATTAGTTAATGGCATTTTTCGCGGTTTGTTAGTGACAAGATGAACTATGAAAATTGGAAATCTAGCATTTTTCCGACAAATTAACCCTTTTTAATGCGTAATTGACACTGTAATTTCAAATTAACCTTTTCTTTTTTCGTTTTTCAAATTAACCCTTTTTTATTTCAAATTCTTTCTTTAAAACATCGAAAAACCTAGATGTAAGTACGTAAAGTACAATAAAATTCCCGCATTTAAAAAATAAACAAATAAAATAATGGAGCTTTTAGATCATATTATGAAATAGGAAAATGATACAAAAGAAATAGGACGTCGGTAGCCGCAACTGTCTCGTAGTTGAAATACCCTCCTTACAAAAATTCTTTATTTCTATATTTACGTTTTACATAATTTTTAATTGTAATCGTAATTTCCAAAAGGTGTTTTTATGAGCGCAGTTATTTTATATTTTAAAAAATTCTCAAATACACAAGAATTTGATATACATTTTTATTTTTCATACCATCTCTACTTTTTTTGTTGTTATTATGTTGTTATTTCAAAAAAATATTAATTTGAAGATAAAAGGGATAATTTGGTGCGAAAAAGGGGTAATTTGACGTAAAAAGCTGTACGTATGAGGCCATATAAATGTAGTCATGGTCAAAATATCAATCTAATTTACTTATACTAGGTCTGAAAATGGAGATAAACAAGACAGAATGGCTTTTGTTAGGATAAGGCAATAATTGATATTTTTGGGTTTTGTTTGGGAAAATGTCTAACAAAAACAACGCAGAAAATTGAGGTATGTAGTGCATCGTGGATACTGCGGTTTTATCAGTGCAATCATGGTCCAAATGGATAAATTAAAGAAACGGAGATATTGCAAAGGTTATTGGTGGACATATTCAACTTATAATTTACTTACAATTAATTAAGACCAAAAGATAATTTTATGATACATAAAAATAAATATAATCGTAGAATTTTTTTAAGGGAAAATGTAAAACAAAAAGAACACTGATAATGAAGTTATTGAATTGTGGATACTGGAGTCATATAAATTGTCATGGTCCAAATGGTCAAATTCTGATAAACTCACCCTGGCTCCAAAAAGGATAAGATTAAGATTAAGGGAAAACATGATACATGAGTAATTTCTGATATTTTTGGGCGTTTGAAGAAGAAAATACGAAGCAAAAATCCAATAATCAACGGATAAGGATTCAATTGGACACACTGAATTTTAAATATATTCTACTTATATAAGTTATTTGTCAAACTTTTTTAACAGTTTTTTTTTAATTGCAACAAGAAGAACTCTACACAACGATTTGTTTATTTTTAGTTAATGAAAACCAAAAAAGGCTGTTAATCCCATAAAAACTTCTTGCAAATATTGGAAGAATGTCAACATTCCTTTTATCCAAGTGTGTGCCAATAATCAACGGTTAAGGACTCAATTGGACAAACTGAATATTAAATATCAAGTTATTTTACCTTTTTTTTATAAATTATAACAAGTGGCTTGTACACGACGATTTTTTAGTATATATGAATCATAACTTTGTTTTGAATTGCAAATATTGGAAGAATGTCAACATTCCATTTATCATTTGATGTGCGCTAATAATCAACGGATGGGGACACAATTGATCAAACTGAATGTTAAATGTATTTTATGTACATGTATTAATAGTTTCAACTTTTTTTTTTTAATTATAACAATTGGAAGTGTACTGATTATATGTATATATATTTGTATGTTATGTACTGTATATTAAAAAAAAGTATGTCAAACAACATTTGAGCAATGTCAACAGTCCAGGGAACACAAATGTGTGCCAATAATAAACGAAGGGATTCGTTTGGGATTCAATTGGACAAACTGAATGTCAATTTGTATTCTTTGTATGTTAATTATTTGTCAAGCTATTTTAACTTTTTTTTTAATATAACAAGTAGAAGTATATACGTCGACTTTCTTTTAGTCTACAAAACCAAACAAAGGCTGTTAACCAAAACTTTGTATGAATTGCAAATATTGGAGGAATGTCGACATTACATTTAACATCAATGTGCGCCAATAATCAATGGATGGGTATTTAATTGGACAAACTGAAGGTCAAATTTTATTCTTCCTATGTGAATTATTTGTCGCGCTATTTTAACTTTTTTTAAATTATAACAAGTGGAACTGTACATGATGATTTACTTATTTTTAGTTGATAAAAAAAAGGCTGTTAAAAAACTTGCGTATATTCGAGCAATGTCAAGATTCCATTGAATACAAATAATGTGCTTCAATAATCAACGGATGGGGATTCAACTGGACACACTGAATTTTACATCTATTCTACGTCCTGTGTATAAATTATTTGTCAAGCTGTTTTAACTTTTTTTAAAATTATAAGTGGAAGTGTATAAGTCGATTTTTTTAGTTTACAAAAACAAACAAAGCCTTTTAACCATAACTTTGTTATGAATTGCAAATATTGGAGGAATGTCACCAATCCATTTATCACAAATGTGCGCCAATAATCAACGCATGGGGATTTAATTGGAGAAACTGAATGTCAAATTGTATTCTATGTACATATATCAATTGTGTTATTTTAACTTCTTTTTTTAATTATAACAAGTCGAAGTGTACAGGACGATTATTTTAGTATAAAAAACAAACAAAGGTTGATAAATATTGGAAGATTAATGTGCGCCAATAATCAACGGATGGGGATTCAATTGGATAAACTGAATGTCAAATAGTATTCTTCGTATGTTAATTATTTGTCAAGCTATTTTAACTTTTTGTTTCGATTATAACAAGTGGTGGAAGTACATACGTTGTCTTTTTTTCACTCAATAAAAACAAACAAAGGCTTTTAACAATAACTTTGTTAAAATTGGAAATATAGGAGGAATTCCATTTAACAGAAATGTGTGCCAATAATAGACGGATGGGGACTCTATTAAATAAACAAATTGAATGTCAAATTGTATTCTTCCAATGAAAATTATTTGTCAAGCTATTTTAACTGTTTTTTAAATTACAAGTGGAACTGTACACGACAATTTGTGTATTTTCAGTTTATAAAAAACAAAAAAGGCTGTTAAACAACTTGCGTATATTCGAGCAATGTCAACATTCCATTCATCACAAATGTGCGCCAAGGGACTCAAATGGACAAAATGAATGTCAAATTGTCCATTTTTCCTTAACAAGTGTACAAAACAAAGATGTGGCCTAATTAAAGATTTGTTTGAAAATGTGGTGTTTTTGCGATCATGTTGTCTATAAAGTCTTCTCTCCCAGGGGTGGCCCTTTGTAAAAAATAGAATTGGAAAAAGGCTGACTTTGGACCCGCTGCATCGGAAGAAAAGGCTTAAAATTCCGGCTTACTTTCGCGAATAAATACCCCGTTTATTAATAGTAAATAGAAAAATAGATGCATTACCTTCCCCTTTTGGAAGAATTCCATAAAGCCGCTCAGCGACATGTCAAAGTTTCCGTTGAAGTTGAAAATCATTAGAAAAGATTTGGGCAGGTCGGCTCAGTGAGGAGGACGAGGCGAAGCCAGGGCATCACGTCTCTAACTTGAGGTGGCCGTGTGAAATCCGACTTGAGACAACGAAAAGCCGACGACCAGCCGGCGTCGCACAGATTCGAGGTACGTGAACGACTAAAGCCAATAACTTAACTAATAAGCTTTGAAAGCTTCTTCACCGGCGAGAGGGGGAGAGGCCGTCAGCTGACAGAATCGATTCCACCATCGATCATTTTCGTCGATCTTTCAATCCAGGCACGTTAAATTCATAACACGAAAATAATTACACGGCAGAAATAAAGGCTCGTTATTATTAAAAGATGCTGAGAAGGATAAGGAAAAAGAGCACGTCGGAAAAACCGAAGAGGAAGCTCAATGAAAAAAAGCGCCTAATATTTAACTGTAAATATTCTTTTTTTTAAATAGTTCGTAGTTTTTCATTTTTTTTCTTATATATATATTTTCAAGATCAATCAATATAAATGTGATCATTGAATTTAAAATGCCCTCTTGGCACCTTGAACCTGGTACTTTTGGCAGTTGGGCAACAGCCCGGGAGGTTCCAGTGTCGGTCTTTCCAGAGTTTTTCAAGTTTTTTGGGTTTTTTCAACCCGTTTCGGGTTCAAAACTACCCCGGTTCGCTTTTTGATGTCGCAGGCCGGATGTGAAATGAACCCCAGCATCGACATTGCAGGCTGCTTCCGATTCCTAAGCCAAGCAGTTCTGAAATGTTGGAAAGTTTTGGTTTATTGCGTAGTCTTCTTTCTGTTTGTTTATTTCGTCCTCGGCGTCTTCACGGCGACCGTCATCATAGTCGCGGCCTTTGGGAGTAAGTTCGTTTTTCAAAAAGAATCTTTAATTATCAGTACAAATTAGTACAGTTTTGATAACACAGAATCTAGTAGCATAATAAATTATCGACTTTGGCACTCACATAATAATTTACAGAAAGTATATGATTATAATTTATTAATAAATATTGCTATATACACGTGACTTTGGTGACCACACCTTGCGCAGTGGCAATATCTTAATCAATGAAGTTCTACTGAGATGATACACGTGACTATGTATCGAAAAGCATGATTCCATTCACAAAGATGACAATAGGAAGCTTAAAACTCCAAGTCTAAACGAGACTCTGATCCCGTTTTCCAAGGAGGGCAACAAATATCTAGAGATCACACTACACCAGCAGCTCAAATGGAATTCACATTTGATTAAAACTACCAGAGAACCAAAATTGCTTGGGAAGGTGCAGAAGGCTCTGCACCAGGGTCTAAACCCTAAAACGGCCATAAGGCTAAACACCTGTGTCCTAAGACCAATGTTGACATATGGGTCGGTGGTGTGGTGGACCAAGACTCTTGCCAAAGCAATAAGGCTATTAAGTGGCACCTAAAGACAAGCTTGTCTCAGTGTCACCAGAGCCATGAGCACAATGCCAACTGCGGCCCTGGAAGTGTTTTTAAACCTCCCACCACTTCATGTTTTAATCCAAGGAGAAAGCAGAGCATCAGCCCACAGGCTCATAAATGGACAATCATCTGCAAGGATAGGCCATAAATAAACAATGGAAACTGAGGAAGGAGATACAGGCAGATGCCATATTAGGTATGTCAATCGATACCACTACTCCAATAAACTCCTTAACTAGAAAGTACAAGGTACTGATACCAGAACGGGAAGAATGGCCCAAAGGAACACCGCTAAAGGCAAACTCCTACTAGTGTACTAACGTACTAACGGCTTCAAAATTGACAAGGGTACGAGAGCTGGAGTCTTTGGGATGAACCCAAAGACTGAACTGACTGTAAACCTAGGTAAATATGCCACAGTTTTTCAATCTGAAATCATATTGATTGAACACTGCACCAGAGAAATAAAAAAGGCTAGGATTACATTCCCGGAAGAAAGCCATTTTCTCTGACAGACAGGCTCATGCGAGGCGAACACAAAGATTTTTTCAAACTGCATGGAGGCCCTGACAGAAGTCAGTGACACTAATGACCTGACCCTGATGTGGGTCCCCAGGCACTCGGGGCATAGAGGGCAATGAAAAGGTTAACATGTAGGCCAAAAGGGGGGGGGGGCAACATAGACTCTCTGGGTCCTGAACCCTACTGTGGCTTAGCATTCTGCCACAAAAGAGGATACATCTTGAAATGGATCCTTAATGAGTCCAAAACCTGGAGGAACAATACCACAGGTATCAGCTATGCGAAGAAATTCATAGCAGGACCATCCACAAAATTTACAAAAGAATTACTGGAAGGCAACCACAACTGAACCCGGATTCCAGTTGGACTACTGCCACTTAAGAAGGCACATGCACCGGATAGGAGTACAGACAGAAGAAACACTCTTCAGATACTTCCAAAAAGAGGAGGAGACTGCAGAACATATTTTATGTTTCTGTGAAGGTCTTTTTAGGTGCAGGTTCTTGCAACTAGGATAAGAAAAGTCACAAGCATGATCCTACACTAAGGAGCCACTGGCAGGGCTATGGAGGTTGATTAACAACCTGAAGCTGGCCAGTAAGTTATAAATAACAGGGGAGCACAATAGATCTATTCAGGTCGAGGTGCAATAGGCCACCTCTTTTATCCCTGTACCTATCCCTAGCCTTATCATCAAGAAGGAAAAATTGACACAGCTTTCTCTTGAGTCAGCGATTGGGAAGAAGTGGGGGTAATGTCGCTATTTGTGCGATGATTGGATTTGCTTGGTCAGTCATCATTGTGTTAAGGGCTCTACAGGCTTTACTAGCAACCAGCTGTACTACTGGATTGGCTAGGTCTTGATACAGGTACTGTTGCGCACATACCATGGGGCTCCTGTGACAAAACATAAAACTCTGTTTTGTGTCATGTCTATTTTGTTCAGGCGATTAGAGCCCCTCCCCCAGAGTTCACAGGAATATGTCAATATAGACCTAATTAGTAATAGATACAGTAGTTACTTAGTACTCAAAGTGAGATAAGATTTGTTATCTAGAACAACTCTGGTTTTATTACTCCACAAACTTTAACGATATGTTATATTAATCCATTTGTTTAGTGGTCTAATTGGCCAAATTACTTATTTCAATTAATTATTCTTTTTATGAAAGGTCTTGGTTGAGATGAAAAAGTTAGTATCACGAGAGGGATTCAAACCATGACCTTCGGCTCAATACACTGCTGCTCGAACTACTTGTTGTCAGGATAGCTGACCCTGCAATTGCTTTGGAGGAGCTCCAATAACCGAATGGAGCAACTTCTGGTGTCTTATGATAAATGAAAGCAATTGATTTAAATTACTTTAACCCTCCAAAACAAAACCCATTGTACAATTCACTCATGTCTAATGACACACATTAGAACACAAATTAAAAGTCAAGAATTTGGATTATTATTATTGAGAACATCATATGCATCAACAAACTCTCTTTATAAGACACTGTTGAAATCGATTTGGATATGGATTAGTGAATTGTAAGGCACTGCTAAACCTTCCAATCCAAAGTCCTCAGAACCATTGGCTACGCTCCATCCTACATTTCCAACACTGTCCTTTCTAAAAACTTTATCCCTAACAATTTTTCTAGATTCAGTGAAAATCTATCCTCACATGCTAACCTATTAAAAACCCATCCATGTCCAATATTACCTATCCATACAATCTAGTAAGGTAACTTAAGCAGAGATGCTCCCAGGACCTTCTTACAAATAGTGCTTGCTAGGCTAATAGCTTAGAGTGCAACAATGGTTGCTGGCTCCCCTCATATATATGCAGTAAAGTAATATCGGGTTGTCCGGAAAATAATGCAGGATTTTAAGTTTTCATTAAAAAAAATCTATATAAAATATTCTGTTTACGTTTACAGGATTNGTATGGGAAATTATTTTGATTAAAGAACATTGCTTTAAAGTAACTAGTTTCTTTTTTTTTGTTTAATACCAAAATCCTGCATTATTTTCCGGACAACCCAATATTTTGTCTCATTACATAATGTATCTAATTTGTACAGATGGTAATTAAATTTTTTAAAAATCTTACAGTAAAACCTTTGAATTATGGACTCTTCTGTTTAGGGGGACACAGATGCACTTGCGTTAAAGATTCTTTTTCTATCTATTCAACACTTTTACTTAGGGGACACTCACAAAAGAACGAGGGTACTTGTACAGAAAACCTCTGAGTAGGGACAGGGCAGATTAATCATTTTGTAATTTTTCTGGGGGTAGCATATTTTCTTTCCGATGTTGGTTTCATTTCATGATTTCAGTTTAAGTTTAAATTTTTTATTATTAACATGACTCTGACTCGCCAAAGTGATTAAACTAAAGAAAAGAATCGCTTGAATCTTAAGAAAAGTTTGGGGAGCCTAATCAAAAAATCAATGCGGAAGAAAATCAAGGCCTACAAATTAAACTGACAGCCTAAAAAATATTAATTCAAAATGAAACTATTACCGTTTTTATAAAAATTTAAGAAAATGACTGTTTGAAGGGAAGGGAGGTGATTATGTAGGAGGGATTAATTAAGAGATGTGGGAGAGAGTTCCAGAGTTTGGTGCCACGGATCAGGAAGGATTTTTCGAAGGAGTGGGTTTTGTGTTGGGGAAGAATAAGGTACTGGGGGGGGGTTGTAGGAGTGGTGAGAGGATTTGAATTGGAGGGATTGGATGATATACTGAGGACATCAGGTATGAAAACAATGAAAAAGGAAGGATCCTAGGAAGTACTAAGATTTGAAGGAAGAGGAGAGCCAGGAAAGATCCAAATACAGACTGGACACCCGGGACCCCTGGGGGGTGCCGAATCTGAATGTGACACAGCACAGGATGCACTTCAAGTGCCTGCTTTGCCCCTCCGAGAGCCCCCTGTATGCCACATAACTGTAATGGAAGAAGGGAAAGATAAGAGGAGATAGTAGGAGTTTATAGGTGGAGAAGGGAAAGAGAAGCCAGGACTGACAGATTAGGCTGAGGGAGGCTAAACAGCAGCGGGAAATTTGGAAATTTTAGGGTGCCAGGAGAGGTTTTGGTCGAGAATAAACCCAAGGTTTTTGACGAAGGCACGAAAGGAGATGGGCTAGTTATTTAGTGAGAGAAGGGATATTGGGGAGGGATTGGAGAAGTTTGGATCCGATGACTATGGCCGAGGACTGCTGACGGATTGAAGTTCAGGGGATTTTTATGGGCCCATTCATTAATGGAATTAAGGTTGTTCTGGATCTTTAGGATGGCCAATTGTAGTCTGAGGGATAGAAAGATATGTAAATTTGGAGTCATTTGCATAAAGATGGTAATTACAGTTCTGGATGAAGTCAGAGAGGTCGTTAATATACTAAAAAGGATGGGAAAGATGCTAGAACGCCAGATTTTAATGGAAGGAAGGAGGATGTACGTGTGTTATCAGATGGTATTATCTCTTATTAGAGGACACCTCCCGAAAGAGGTTATGTGTCGATTTTGACTTTCCTCAATGTTTCCAGTCTATTTATTTTAAAGTGTAATATACTGAGTGTTGAATATTTAAATCATTTCATAAAGAAATAATTTTTTGAAACTAAAATTTTTAATGAATGACTTCCATGCTTAATACTTTGTAAAGTTGTTAATGAAATACAAAAATTTATCAAATAACATTAGCATACTTTTTATACATTGCATTGGATGAGAAAGAATTATGAAACAGTAGGTAAATTAAAAAATAAATAAATAAAAAATAAGTAAAAAGGAATGAAATGTCGAAAACGATAAATACAATTAGACAGTTGTAACAATATTGGTTTTGGATGTGCTATTTCAGTTTTAATACCGTAAAGTTTTTTACTTTATTTATGGGTAATTTAGAGCCATAATAAACTAGAAATATTTTTAGGATTTAAGTTACAAAAAAATTCATTTGTAATCATTTAAAGAAAATTGATTTACTTGTAGGTTTATGGCCTTTCAGATTATGTAAGTATTTTAAAATTCAATTTAAATTTAGTTTTGGATTTAGTGTATCAGGATGAGGCATAATAATTTTCATTTAAAAAACTTATCAGTACAAGAGGGCTTATTTTAGCTTTTGTTAAAGAAAAACCATCATTTGCTAAATGCCATTTCAGTGAACCAGATACTCCAGGCACATCAAATAAGAAAATTGGTTATTTTTTAAATCCCCAAGTGTTTTAAATTGTTGAAGTCATAAACCATAAAATAGTGTTTAGAATTTTTTTATATTTTTAATACCATACTCTGAACACCAAATTAATTCAGACAACCTGGGAAATTATGACAAGCGATTTATTCGTGTAGTCTCTTTCAGTGATCTTCTACAAGACGCAGGACCACCTCCTGTACCACCCAGACGACAACAATGCCAACTCACGCGATTTCGTCATGGACCCGTCCGCCTTCAGCCTGCCATTTCAGAATATCTTCATCCAGAGTGAGGACGGGACGAGGATCAACTTGTACTTCATACGCCACCCTGATCCCAAGGGTCTCATCGTACCTACACTGGTTTTTTTCCACGGCAATGCAGGGAATATGGGGCACAGGTACTTCATTCAATTTAGATGTTGATTTTTAATTTTTTTTTTTTTAAAGCTGGAGTATAAAATTTGTAACATATGGTAATTAAGTTTTAAAAAAATGTTATATTAGTACAATTTAGAATACTTTTTTGACCATCCACCAAAACCCACTTAGGAACACCTATAGGATGGAGTCGTTGTAGTTTTAGTTTTTGTATTATTTGTAGATGGTAGACCCAGTAATATTTTTAAAAGTCTTACATAAAAGTAAAGTGATTCCAGTCGTGATGGGTTTATGCTTTAACGTGTTCATTAAACTTGTTCTTGCTCTTGCTAAATGTGTCAAATTGTACAACCTGCTTTGTAGCTATACTGGTACAAAACAGGGAGCAGAGCCTTCGATAGACCTTGTAATTCTACAAATCTATAAGATCTGCGATAGATTTCATATCAATAGTGTATGGTCATGCTCCAAAACATAAATTACAAAAATAAACAGTTTCTACAATAAACGTCTTCAGCGTATTCTCTGAGTGATTCCCAACAAATCTTGTCAACGGAAATTATGGAACCTTCCATAAACATCGGAATACCAAACTGGCTGCTAACAAAATAAAAAACTTGTGTAAATTGTGTAACTTGCACAATTGATTCTAACTGAAAAAATAAAATAATACCAAAAGAATATCCCTCCCATTATAAACACTTTTTTCACTTTATCCCTAGACCTATCTTCAGTGTACAAAAATAAGCGTCATCCTATTCTGCAGCTAGAATATTGTAAAACTCTAACTTGGTACCCCTTTTGTTGTTGGATTGATGTGGAATGGGGGTAGACATGCGAGGGGCAATGGCTTGTCAGGGGACGGGAGTGGCCCCTCAAGCTGGACTTCATACGCGGGAGCAACGGGGGAGGTACTGAGCGCCTTCAGGTGTTGTTCCTGACACATTGGCAAATAGAGAAGGACTCGTAATGATTTTCTTAAGGTCAAATATATAACTTTAATATGTGTGTCTTTTAATTTTGGCCTAATTGGTTGAATAATAATTAATTTTTATTTGTATAAAGAATGTTTTTTGGTTTCTAAATGAATTTTGGTGATGGGCAATTCTGAACTAGCTTGTAGATTCTAAAGGTGTTGGGTCCAGGGTGTGTAGTATATATTCTGTTCAATAAATTTTTTGGGATTACTATGACCCAATTAAGAATCACAAAAAAGAAATGATGTTATCATCATCAATATTTACTGCCAAAATAATGCACTGACAAGAACCCTTACATATGTTGCTTGCCATGTTGGATGGGAATGAATTTTTCATAATCTCGGATAGTATGAGCTGCATAAAGCAGATTGAGTAATTTAACCCAAATGTAAGGTGCGATAATATACAGTACATATATGCATACAGTACACATAATAAGCTGCAGAGCTATTGCAACGAACTGGAAAACATAAAGAAGAATATAATTTCAAGATTCAAGAATATAATTTTGATGTGCCCAGAATATGAAGAGGCAAGATGAAATTGTTCAACGGGGTGTATATGCTGAGAAATTTTGAGCAACCGTTTTGCTGGAAAAGTTTGCTTTCTACTTGAAATGTGGATGTAGTCTAAATTGATATATGCATTTTTTAAAGAATATGATATTGATGTGTGATCATGCAATAGACGTTAGTGTTGTTGTGTGTGTGTTATGGTAATTATTTACTTATTATAATAAATGTGTATATGATGTACTGTTGCTTTATGCCTAAAGCAAAGCAATTTGAAAAAAGAAAAAAAGACAACATTAGGGTTATTAACAAAGGGTTAATTTGTCAATATGAAATAATGTTTATCACATAAATGCAATGAGTGAATTTAAACTGATAACAGGTTTTAGGAAATATTTTTCACCTTTTTTTTTTTTTTTTTTTTTTTTTTGCAAGATTACCCTTGAAATATTGCATTGCAGATTACAAAATGCTGCAGGGTTGTACACTAACCTTCAGTGTAATGTGCTCATGGTTGAGTACCGTGGTTATGGCCGTTCACAGGGCCATCCTACGGAGAAAGGGCTTTATATGGATGCGAGGGCTGCTATGGACTTTCTGGCCACGAGGCCTGATGTGAATCAAAACAAAATTATTGTGTTTGGAAGGTCCTTAGGTAGATTTGAACGTTATTTACAAATAATACGGAATAAAATAAAATAGTGGATTTACAGGAGGTGCTGTTGCAATCGACTTAGCTGCAAGGCCAGAGTACGGTTGCAGAATTTGGTGCCTAATCGTTGAAAACACATTCACAAGCATTCCAGAAATAATGCTTTCCCTGTTTAAGCATAAATGGCTTAGATTTGTCCCACTTTTTGCCTATAAAAATAAAGTGAGTATAATTTTTTTATCTAACTAACTTGAATGTAGTAAAAAAAAACCTATAAATATTCTTTTTTATTTTCTTGCAGTATCTGTCAACGAAGAAGATTGTCAATGTGAACATCCCGACACTGTTTATTTCAGGGCTGAAGGATCGCCTTGTCCCACCAAAGATGATGACAACCCTTTTTGCCCTGTGTCCGTCACCGAACAGTAAACTCTTACAGATCACGAGTGGCAGGCACAACGATACCTGGACATGCAATGATTACTACAGGCAGATATCTGAATTCCTCCAAACTGTCCATTCCTACAAGCCCAACCCACCGAGCTCGACTGTCATAAACATATAAGATTTCAACAATTAAAATATTCATTCAAAAAACAAAACACCAATGGTTTTGTTTGATTGTGTTACTTAATGAAAATTAAGGTCGCTTAAAGTTATTTTCAGTAATTGTAAAGTTAAACTATGAATTTCAGTATCATGGACAGTTTTTTTTATAACAAAAACTAGGAGGTAGTTTGTAATTTTTTTTTGCCTTCTTTATTCCATTGTGGATTATTTGTTTTATTTTTACAAGTCCAATTTTAAAAGGTAGGTGATTAAAGATTTAAAACATTTTTCCAGAAATAAAACTACATGATTTATGGTACAGGATGGCAGAATAAGTTTGGCATCTCCAAATTTACGTAAGTATACTTTAATAAATCACCTACCTTTTAAATTGATAAGCCAAGTAAAAATAAAACACATTTTCAGTTAATCACAATGAACAACACCGAGAAAAAACTCAATGTTAAGTAGATGCTTTGCACTTTCCCAATTTAACATTGATTCCGAATTAATAATGAAATACAAAGATTGAACGGATAAATTATTGTTATTAATAATATTGTTAAAACATTTTAATTGTGTATTTTAAAACAAATTAATTAAAAGCTATCAAAATTACAATCTGATCAATTAACGCATTTATTTTTATAAAAATTATACTTGGTTACATTAGGTTTGTTCCATCATGTGTCCAAACCAGCAACATACTGTCAGTCAGATGGTCTATCACATATGTTTTAAGCCAGGTTGTGACTGGTTTATGACTGTCAAAACAGTCCGAGGATTTGACTAGGGACTGACAGTCAGATACATAAGCAGATGTTTCCCACCACTTTTGTTCTCTTTCATTTGCAAAGTTATTACCTAACTAGGGATGGGTTTTAAAATCAATTAAATTAAATTAAAAGTAAAGTGAAAAAACAAAAAACAGTTATGCATTTTTTCAAAGAATTTTATCATTTACACTAAGGGAGAATATAACAAGTAAATCAAATTGAAAATATATCTTTAATTTTCAATCTGTTTAAAACTAAGGTTCATTTTGAAATTTTCATAAATAAAAGTATATCATCTTAATGGTGATAAACAATTTCTATAAAATAAAAATGCTTTTTTAAATTTTTTTTAAATTATTCAAGTGTAATTATATTATGTATTTTATATTTTATAGTAATTATTATATATAGAAAAATGCAATTACAATAATAGTTAAATATAAATGTATAAAATGTAACATATGATATAAAAACAAAATAACTGTGATGTGGGGTGTTGGTGGCCATAAAAATTAAAAAAAAAACACAAACACCCCATAGTAATTATACATTTATATTCAACCATTTTTGTATATTGCATTTTTCTAAGTATAACAATTAGTAGTTTAAGAATTAAGATACACAATATGATTGCTCTTGCATTACTATTTTTTTAATGTGATTTTATTTTATTTTTTTGCACAGAAAGTTACATTTTTTAATGAAACGTTAAAAATGTATGTTATTGCAAATATATATATTTTTAAAGCTGTGGTCCCAGAACCATTCCAAAGCAGTCTGAGATGTTATTCTGATACAAAAAGAATACACGAGATCACACTAGTTGAAAAATTCCGTAAAAGAAAGCTAAAGGAGAGACAATTGACTGATTGATTTTAAGGTTTTTGACAAACGAATTTCAGCAGAAGTACAAGATTGGAAAAAAGCATTCTATGAGAGTCATACATCATGGATTACTTGGGAACTGGGTTGTAATTTGTTGGAACAAACCTAATATAAACAAATTAGTTAGGTTTACCTTGTATTAGGCATTTTTTAAATATTTGCCCAAGAGTGATCAAAATAATTTATAATTTAAAATGCTCTTATTGTCCTATATGTATGGTCTTGTTCTTAATGTCAGGACTAACTAGAGATTTACAGTTTTTAATTTGAAAGATTTTTCTGGATACAAATTTAAATAAAATAGTCTAGCTTTTACATTAACTTATTGAAAAATGACAGCTCATATTATTTATTCTTTAAATTATTCACTTCAATTTGTAAAATTGCAAAGAAAAAAATGTTTCATTCTTGTTAAAAGCATTTATATAGTTAATATAGCTTTTTTTGTATAAACTTTGTGCAGTGTAATATTCACTGGTGAATTTATACTGACCTGATTTTGAACAGACTGTAGGTAATATCGTAAATACTATTTTGAATGAGTCAGCGGCGAAGAGCAAAAACATACAATATTTAATATTTTCTTTCTAGTCTTATGTTTTTTTTAAATATTTGCATAAAGATAAAAACTGAAATTCCAAGTTATTAGTGAAGAACAAATCCAAATGGTATGTTTACCTATATAACACTGTTTTGTTCGTCAGCTTATCCTCAAATGGTTTATCCCCAAATGGGAGAGAGAGCGACCGGGCAAATCATAAGACATTAAAGGCTGTGCTTAACATTTTAGTAAAATGTGTTCAAAAAATGTTATTTCCCTTTTGAACAACCTAAACAATGAAATGTGTTTGGGTCAATTATGTGTTTACTCTTATATGAAATTGTATGCTCAAGCAGAAGGGTGAGTTGAGACGGTTTACTCTGCTTTCAAATTGATCACGTTGCCATAATTATTTTTGTCTTCCTGATGAATTATTTTTTATTTCTACTTTGTACATATTAAACTGTAGATTTTAATAAGTCCACTTACAAAAACTGTTACACTTAAGAGAAATAAAAAAATATTTTATAACATGTTTTGTTATTGGGTTGTCCGGAAAATAATGCAGGATTTTAAGTTTTCATTAAAAAAAATCTATATAAAATATTCTGTTTACGTTTACAGGATTACTCATTNAGGGATTAATAAGTTACCAACACGTTGGGAGAAATGTATTGAGAGTATGGGAAATTATTTTGATTAAAGAACATTGCTTTAAAGTAACTAGTTTCTTTTTTTTTTGTTTAATACCAAAATCCTGCATTATTTTCCGGACAACCCAATATTTTTAAATTTTTTTATGTTTCTCAAGATGGTCTTGAAGAAGAAAGCAAATTTAGTTGCTATTGCCAAGCTTTTGACCTATTTTAGTCATCTTCAGGGAAAAACAACCTTACATACGTTATGTCTATAGATTGACATATTTAAGTTTTTACAACTTTTTTTACATACATTTTTTGAGATCTTAAATATGTCAATCTGTAGATATATTTAAGGTTGTTTTGCCCTGATGATAACTTTAAAATAGGTCGAAAACTTGACAATAGCAACTAAATTTGCTTTCTTTAAGACCATACCTTGATCTAGAGTGTTTGTAAGACCTCATAGAGGCAGAGTTGTTCATCAATGATTAATAATTAGAAAACCCTTGGAATTTCCCATCTGTCCCTTCCTTCCCTCATTGTCTACAGACCTCAATCTATTGTACATTACACACAGTATTAATCGGTAAAAAAAACTATTGTGTCCAATAAACAAAATTATGGAATTAAAACTTTTTATTTTATTATTTTTCAAAATTCCTTAATTAATAAATTTTCCTTTAGTAAAAAACATAATAATTTTTGATAAATTTTATTGCAATTTATAATAAAAAATGCTAGGGAAAGTAAAATGCTACAAAATTGGCAATATTAATTCTTGCCTATTAATTTTTGAACAGTTTATTTCTATGTAATGCTAGTTCACTTGGGTATTACTAATAATTATATTTTTCAGCTAAGTTTAGTGTGTATTCTATCAATTATGTTAACTGCTTATATTTTAAGATATGTTTTAAATAATTTTAATAATTCATACTTCTAATCATGAATTAATTATTCAGTTGTTTCTTTAATTAATTATTATAATAAATTACGAAGTTTTCTTATATTTCGACCTCAACAGTTTAACTTATGATTTTTCCTTCTTGAAGGTGGGATAATAGGTCATCTAAAAAAAAAACACAACCAGTTTTTATCCACAACGTTTCGTAACCAATAACCATTGCATTAGCTCACCTGAGGAAGGATTAAAATAAATCCGAAACGTATGGATAAAAACTGGTTGTGGTTTTTTTGAGATGACCTATTATCCCACCTTCAAGAAGGAAAAATCATAAGATAATAAATTACATTAGCTCTCCTAAGTGAATTTGTACTTATAGTATAAATTTAAAAAGCCTTGCTTTTAATTTTTTTAAACTTCATTTATTTGTATCTACAACTGTTCCTGTATTATATACAACCAGCAGATTGGATAAATAAATTTTTATGTGGGAATGTACAAACGTTGAGCATGAATGTCGGCATAACCGCAACGTTACCTTTTTCATGTTTACTGTCAATTCCTTATCATCAGGAGATAGGAGAAACAGTGAACATACAGACTCCTGTTGGAAAATGTCTCATCTCGAAGGTGGCAAAGTGAGCGCCGCCCTTTTACAGAAACACCTCCAGAAAGAGTTCTTAAGGTTGTTGGATAAATGCGATGGCGAAAAGGTACGAGGTCCAGCCACCCCAATAATAATAATAATCCAGCTTCATTTCTATTCAAACGTTTCAGCTAATAATGTGGGACATGGAGCTGTCCGGTCCGATGGGCCAGATAGCGACGAACAAGCTCCTCAAGGAGCACAACGTCATGAAAATGCTCAAGTTCACCCCGGGCAAGCTGCCGATTCCTTCGACGACGAAAAGTGTGATTTTCATCGCTCGTGCTGAGGAGCACCTCATGGACATAATCGCCAGCAATCTGAGAGAGTAGGTTTACATTTTTCATCGTAACACATCATATAAACTATAGAATTCGGTGTGGCTGGGGCGGATTGGTGCTGCGGTGTGAGAAAGTGCCCTGAGTACCGTGGGCAAGGTTAGCCCCAGCACTGGATTTTTTTTTTCATTTTTTACAATGGTACCTGGAACTGGAGGAGTTTCCCCGAGCACTGCAGCTTATTGAATTTTATTCCTGGCTCTATTTTTTAGGGGCTCACGAATTTGAGCCCTCGGTGTGCTGATGTTTTTCCATCGAAGAAACTAATTTTTGAAGAGGGTTGGGATCAAATAAAGGGCCATCCGATCCCGCCCATCGATGAATTTAAACTCATAAAATGAAATTATGCTAAAATCAAACATTGACGTCTTAGTAAAGACTGAATTATTCCCAAATAATGAAATGCTACTGAGGTAAACAAAAATTTTTGTTTGGAAGAGGATTAAAATGTTGACATTCGAGCAAAAGAATAATCCATCCAACGTAAAAAGCTTATTAGGTAGAGGGGTAATTGAAATAAAACATGAAAACCTTTCTGGATAACCCAATAGGTGTGTTCAGATTGTTTTCTGCGTGGAATAAACTTTATGTATGTTACCACACATTCTATTTTTTCATTGAAAAAGACCTAAAATATGTGTACATCAGGTTCAGAAAGTGTCTGAATTGGTATGGAGGTAAAAGAAAATGCTTTGATGCCTGAAATTCGAGGTGAAATCTGAATTCCTCTTCTCATTACATGGGGTGATGCTTGGTTTATTAAAAAAATTATATTTCAGGGAGCAACGATGTGCTAGCGTTTCCAAAGACTTCTATTTGTTTTTTGTACCAAGAAGGACAAAACTCTGCATGATTAGATTGGAGGTAAATATTTGGTTTGATATACAAATCTCTTGTATTATGTCTCTTTGTTTTGCAGGAAGTTGTAAGCCTAAAGTTATTAAACTATTGGCAGAGTATTTCTTTCAGATTAGTGTTCAAATCTAATTTGATAAATAATAGAAAACGGCTAAATTTGTTTTGTAAACTATTTTCTTGATGTTTTGATCAAATTTTAACAGCCTAATTCTTAGCTCACAATTCATATTTTTTTAAACTAGAACTAGCCTGAAAAATATGTCTTGTTTTAACAGGAGAAAGGAGTACTGGGCACATTAAATGTTGAGGATCTTGAATGTGATATTTACCCTTTTGACTATGATTTACTATCTATGGAAGTTGGAAGTGCTTTTAGGGTCTGTAGTTGTCTTTGTTTTGTTTTCCATTTCTGAACTGTTCATTTTTTTAAGGATTTTTTCCTCGACAAGGACCCAACGTACATTTACCAGGCTGCTGAAGCCCTCATGACACTTCAGTCACTGTATGGTATGATCCCCAAAGTTTTAGGAAAAGGGCAAGCTGCCTTCCAGCTGCACAGCCTGATGAAACGTCTCGCCCAGGAACCACGGACCCCACCACCTTCTGTCTCACAGATCGACCAACTAGTCCTTATTGATCGTTCGGTTGATCTTATCAGTCCGCTGGCCACCCAACTCACCTATGAGGGTCTCATTGATGAAATATTCAAAATTAATTGCAGTAAGTCTTAATTGTATAATAATGAAAGCATGTTTTGTTAGGATTGTTCCACAATGTTTCTATTCAGTTTCAATGTGACTAGATAATTTTTTTTATTTCCTTTAGCAACTGTCACATTACCTGCTGAGGAGTTTGATGAGAGTGACGATAGGCACAATGGAATAATGGCAGGGACCAAAAAGGTCATTCTTAATTCGGGAGATGAGATTTATTCTGACATCAGGTATTGTTGATTGTCTCTTTGCTTTTTATCACATTAAACTACCAACCCATTTTTTTCAGGGACAAGAGCTTCAGTGCAATTGGTCCATATTTGGATAAGAAGACAAAGCACATAACTAGTACATTCCGTGAAAAGATCAGTGCGGAAAAGAGCATGGACGAGCTGAAAGAGTTTGTGACTAAGCTACCCGATATGAAAGCGAGCAAACGCTCCCTTGAAATCCGTCAGTGAATTTCTAGATTAAAGAAGTTTGCAGTATTTATATATGTATACTAATGGGAATTATTTTAGATTTATCTATTGCTAAGTTAATTCGTAAATATGTTGATTCGGATGAGTTCTTAGAGTCACTTAATCTGGAGCAGTCACTTTTGCTTGGCTCTGACACTGATAAAGTACAACAACACATTGAAGACCTTATAGCACGACAGGCACCACTTTTGAAGGTAACTTTACATGCTCTTGATAAATCTTTCTCTAAAATTTTAACTATTTTCAAACTTTGCAAAAAATGCTGGGGCTGAATGTATGTAGGTTTTAATTTCAATATTTTCTGTGCAGGTATTAAGACTAATTTGTTTGCAATCTGGAACAAATAGCGGCCTTAAACCAAAAGTACTCGAATATTACAAAAGAGAGATCGTCCAAACTTACGGTTTTCATCATATCCTCACTCTCACAAATCTGGAAGATTCAGGACTTCTAACCATACAAGTAAGTACATATTTTTAATGTCTTATATTACCTATGTAATTTTTTTTTAAATAGAATTCGAGGAGTTATTCTACGTTAAGAAGGCTTTTAAAGCTCACTGACGAGGATGACAGCGAGACAATGCCCAATGATATCAGCTATGTACATAGCATGTATGCCCCACTCAGTGTACGGCTGATTCAAGTTCTGCTGAAGATAGGTTCTTGGTCTGGTCTGCGAGATGTTATGATGCAAGTACCTGGACCATTTATTGACTCTTCACAACCCATTTCTTCCAGCAATAAGCGAAGTAAGTAAAACACACATCGAGAATTTTGTTTCCGAACTATTATTGACTATAACTATTGAACATATCAACAGAACCTGTGCATGTGAAAATGTAAAATGAGGTGCGCAGCTATATATCTGAAACCATTGGTTGGATTTATATGTAATTTATAGGAATAATGTAGGTTTTTTTCTAGATGATCCCCCTATGAATTTTATATAACAACAAGTAAAAATATAGTCATATTCAACATGACAAACACAAATAAAATATTTTAAGTATTGTGTCATAATACACATGTGTAAAAAATATAAAAGAACTGAGAAGGCAAGATACAAATTTAATTAATCAATATAAATATATGAACAAAAATAAAGGTGTCAAGGAATGATTAAAAAATTAATCAAAACAACAAAAATATATGAAGTTGAACTAATTTAAAAGAAAAACGCCCATTTTGTTTTTAGATAGATTTTAAATTTTAATTTAACACAGTTTAATCATCAATATTTTATTTCAATTATATTTTCAGGAAACTCGGTAGGAAGTGAAGCATCTTCGCAGAATGATTCTAAAAAAATTGTGCTTGTCTTCTTCTTAGGAGGGTGTACATTTGCAGAAATATCTGCCTTAAGGTTCATTGGCCAACAAGAAGAAAGTATGTAACTTTAATAAAATGGTTAATTTTATTTTTATTATTAATGTATATATATTTTTATAGATAATATAGAGTTTATGGTAGCAACGACTAAAATAATCAATGGTAACTCATTTCTCGAGGAACTTTCAGAACCTTTGGATCCTTCGACCTATTAATTTATTTATATTTCCTTATATAAAGTGTCATTCCATTAAATTTGTAATCATATTTTCTGTATAATATTTATAATTATGTGAATTTATAATGTATTTATATTGTATATATTGTACAAAATAAAATAATAATTAAAATAAACACATAAAAATTATTTATTTGTGCCATACTTCTTCAGTACAAAGTAATTTTAAAGCAATAATCCTATTTATTTAAGATAACATTATCAGTGCAATTTGGTTGTTTCTGCTTTCCTAGTCTCACTGCTTTGGATTGTAAGATTCATTTTGTTAATTCTGATTTTTTTGTGCTTTCCAACGGTCACCGGTAACTTATCCTTTCACTACGATGTAAAAGATCTAGTATAGAACTGACCTTCAAAAAATGAAACTGGTAGGCGTAAAGGGAATAAAACACCAACTCAATTCAAAATCAGTTGGAAATCCATGATCTGTGCAGCACAGCTACTATCAAGAAAGTAGAGTAGTATAAACGTTGGATTTCAAAAGTTTCTGATAATTATGAAAACACCTAAAAAACAAGGATGACTTTGAGAATAAGATCCTGTTTGTGATATGTAAATGATCACGGCAATTGTACTTGATTTGTTTATATATTTTTGTTTTCATTAAATTTTTATTATTCCTTGTCACATCCATTATATTTGTTTATATATTTCTGTTGTTTAAATATTTTTTTTAATCATTCCTTTTCAGTTCCTTTATATTTGTTTTTATATTTCTGTTGTTTAATTATACTTTTTGTTCCTTCTCACTTCTTTTATATTTTCTTACACATATTTTAGATATGTTGAATATGCCTACATTTTTAATTATTGTTATTATTTATGTTTTAATTATTAATTATTACTTATATAGAGTTTAAACTCTTGCAAAACTTGAAAGTAAGTATATTTACCCATATGAATAAATAAATGAAAACGAATCCGTTACTATTATATGGGCCAAAGGACATGACTGAATAAAAGGAAAAGCTGACGACATCCAAGGAGAGTGTCACGACAGGCCTAAAAGAGACATAACGATCTCAGATATAGGAGGCAGGACCAGTAGGTTAGAAAGGCCGATTCTGGCACTTCCTCCTTCCTCTTCACCGTGATTCCATCCGCCTCATCCTAAACCACCTTACCCAAGAGACAAAACTGTTTATAATTTTTTTAATTGTAAAAAACAATAACTTAATATAATAAAAATTGTATTAAGTATTTGTTTTATTTTTATTTCACCTAATATTTTACTTAAGTAAGTAGTTTTGATTGATGAGGTGAAATGATGACATCATGAGTGGGAGACAAGAAGCTTCATGATGTATGATGGGAGATTACGGTATGGGTCAGAGGTGGAAAGTGGTGGAGGTGCCAGAACGGCCTTTCTTATCTACTAGTTGCTCTAATCAAAAAGGATTTATATTAAAATTTCTAGTTTGGCTTCAATAAAAATTTTATGGTACAAATATGTTACACCTAGGCAGATTTTATTCCAAATTAATTCTCAAGATATTTTTGTATTAATTAAACGCTCTTTGAAATTGTTTTCCGATGCTCTACTATTGAGCTACTGTCAAGGGGAATTGTTCAAAAATACCAATAAAAAGTTGTGTGAAATGAAAATGGATTATGGGGTATCAAATTGTGCAAGCTCAGTAGTACTCTACAAATCCGAAGACCTCAGGTTCAAATCCTTCCTGACAAGTTTTCCAACATCAAAAATTTATTTTATTATACAAAGTAACACTTTAGCACCGGTTTTCCTTTAGTTAAAACTGTTGTTTCCTTATGGTCTTAAGTAGAAACCAGATCCCATATTTTATTATATTACCAGGCAATACTGTGTTGCCTCGTTGGCACAAAAGTGGTAGGCATTTATATTTTTCCCTCTTTTTTTTACGAGGTTATACGAACTATATAACTTTAATAAACCCGTTTAAACCTTGTTTGGTATCTTGCAAAGGTAAGCAGGAGTTGACCTTTGATATCCTGCAACCCCATGGCTTAATTTTACCCTGCTACTCGTATACCCCATGGCATATCAGCCCTGTAAATGGCCCGATACCAGTTCGAACTTCGGGAGTTCTTTGCTGCAGTCGGTTCTGCTAGAGGACTATTTAAATAATAGTTTTTCATTAAATTTCATACAAATTACGAAAAACTATCTCTTATTTAAGAAATTGCCGGTACTCACGAATATTTCCCAAGATAAATGGAGAGATACAGCAACACGTCTATTCACCATTTGAAATCGCAACTCTCTGCTTTCCTGATCTTCGTAGCGATGGAGAGGTGGACCGATCCTAAGGTGATCAATTATTACACCAGATATTTTTTGTTAAATATAAAAAGATATTATAGAATGTTGAAAATGGAAAATCGCAAAAGATTGAAAAGACGAGAGAAATTTTGAAAATTGTAAAATCGTAATTTCCCGCCGGCGAATTTTTTGATTCCTTAATCACCTCGCTCCCCTCTAGTCCACCATTTTTTGTCTCGACTCCGCCATTTTTCACTGTCCGTTTTGATTCCGTTTGGCTAACATCGTGAAATTAATTTGCTTTCGATTCCTTCTCGTTATTTTCACTACCTCCTTTTAGATTCCATCCTGTTTCTCTTGTGTTATCCTTATAATTCCGATTTTCCTTCCTAGATTCCTATTGTCCACGAGCTTCAAATCGCTTCCAATTTCATTCCATCCTTCAATAGTTTCGTTTAATTTCCTGAGAAGTTTCCCTTCATTTTATAAGTGTACGAAAGCTATTAAAATCGTTAACAAAGTAGCGCGAGTGCCGCGTACCTTCTGCAGCTGTCACATCGCACCGGGTTCGGACGGAGCCCTCAAGGTAGGACAAGCTTGGGTAATTTCCATTTTATCCTTTGGCCAAAGAATAGGGTGGATTTTGTCCCAGCAGCAGTAAGAGTAAGTCCGTTGTTATTTTATTTTTTTATTATTTTATCTGTTTCTATAATTATTCTATTGTGGCCGACCAGCGTGCATACATATCCTCCGGGTCATGATCTTTGGTTTGCCGGCCCACAATCAGATTCCAAAATCATTGCGTAGTTGGAATAATTCCTTCATGCTCCAACAAGTAAAGTCGCCTCATTTATCACTTCTCACTAATCCCACAGCTTCCATTATTAAACTCCAAGATTGTTACTTTTCATTCCAAAATAAAACTTGCAAAGTTTCATCTATTCCAAAATTTTGTTTAAAGCCCCCGAACCCCAAACACATTCCTTTCTTCACTTAACTAAACTGCATTTCAGTCTTTCATAATGCCTACCAAAGAACAAAAGCAATCGAACGATTGGCTAAGCTTGTCTTAAAACGATACGAAATTTGTCATTGTATCAAAAGTATATGATATTGCAAAAAAATTCATCGACGATGTAATAACGTTACTAGAGGCTTATTGCGAATCATCCAAATCGAGACCCAATTTAATGAGATTCAGGACGAGATAATAGAACATAACAGTCTTTGTCAGAAATGAACAGGGTTGAAACCATTGAAACACAGTTACGCTTCGATGAAAGTGCCGCCAACATAAGAACGATTTTATTGAATTCCAGCAAGCGGTATCGTGCAGGAATGATGGTACGAGAGACAACTCCTCACCAAATACCATCGTCCGATACAAATTCCACCTTGACTCGATTTTGGGCAAGATTGACGATCTCACTTTATGGTCGTACACAACGTCATTACTCTAGACATTTCAATACTTAAAAACCTCCTTGAAAGAAGAGTCACTCCCCACCATCTCCGGTTTTATGCTATCCCCGAAAACTACCCATTTGCTTACGAAGCGTTACACATCAAATACACGTAAAATCGCTTCCCAATATGAAAATTAATGAATTTCAAACCTTAAACTGGTTCAAAGGTTAGTTATTTCAGGGGATTGTTAAACATACATCAAACCTCAGTGAATACAATTATGGATAGATAAGACTTGGTGACTGAAAGTCCCTTTAAAAAACACGGATTCCCTACCATTCGGATTTCGGACTTTCGAATCTAGTCAAGCGCCCGAAACAATTCCCAGAACGAAGAATTAAATATAATTTTATTTCTCAACAAGTTAAAGTACTTGAACTCTCCGAGCCTCTCATGAATAGCTTACTCAACAATATTTTCTGACGGTTTATCAGGATTCTAAGATTCGAAAAAATTATCCGAATCGGTCCAAGCGATTTGAGAATTTCATTTGTATGTTTTGACGAGCCTCCCACTTGTCAATGGCGTTAATGCTATGTCCGAAAATCAACATCGCATTGAAAAATTGAATAAAAAAAAACATATCTTGGACAGTATGTAAAATATGTTGAACCGATTGATCCACCTGTATCTAATCAAACGGCCTCCTGCCTCTCATTTACAAACGATCCCAATTCCAATGTACCTCCTACTGGTACTAACATCTCGATTTCTCGTGTCTTATCTTGCGTTGGAAACCTACTCTCACCACCTCCCTCTCAAGTGTTACTCGGCATTATCCGGGCTCTCGTTCTGGATCGTCATGGCGTGCTACGCCCTGTCCGAGGGGTTGTCGACCTTGACGAGAAAGTGTCGGCCATCATGCAATCTAGAGTCTAGAGATTAAGGGCAGGATTCCAAATATGCGACAGATTGAAAGCCTTGACCCTTTTCCTTGATACAAGTGGCTTGTTTCAGGGTGGCTGGCCGGCTGCAACTGTTGAACCCAAATTATGACTCCAAACATCCCTCCCTCCTTCGTAAAGAATCCTAACATTTCAAATTAATTTGCATACATTACCACTGTACCCTACTCCATTCCGGCCCGAACTCAGTGCAGGCTTTGTGATCCGGGAAAAATTCTGTATATTGTCTCTACGAGGTTTATTACGAACTGCATCAAGAATTGCCACACCTGCTTTCGTTTTAGAGCTCCCAACTTTCAACCGCAAATGGCAAACTTTCCCGCTGCTCGTATCACTGCGTCTTAACCCTTCTCTCTTGTGGACGTTGACTTTGCAAATCCATTCGGAGTTCGATCCAACCGGTCACGGAAGGCCCGCTCTTTTGAAAGAATAAT